TTACTTCTCACCAGACGGCTTACTGTTCTTCATAGGAAAAGACGTGAGAATTAACCAATATCAACTCATTGATCAATGCCGAGTTTCAGTCAACTGAAGTGGTACTCTTTCAGCGTGACTTCCTTGCACTGGAGTTATCAGATGGAAATGTGAAATTATCGCTGGACTTCGGATCTGGTGCCGCACAGTGGCTCGCCGATACCGTGACCTACAACGACGGGCAATGGCACACTGTGATGGTGGCTAGAGATGAGCGACATGTGAAGATGGACGTCGACGGAGTCACGGTGAGCCTCCTTTCATATCATGTCGTTAGCGGGGACACTGAGGGGAGTGAGCCACTAACAGATTTTGGGACTGAGCCTTAAGGAGGAGGAGGGATTATTGGGAGGAAGTGAGCAATTTTTGTTCTCCCTAGCGTTTATACTTCCCCTGGGCTTAGTCCTACTGTCACTGACCAGCCAAATTTGAATGTTTTGAATGTCCCTCTAAAACCGTGAGCGCCTTTTTTCAAAATCTTCATGGAACACTACTTTTGGAGCGGTGGCACCTACCCGCAACGCGGTGATTTGTGCCGGAAAGAGCGATCGGTTGGCCTGGAGATTGCTTAACTGAACAGTTCCTTCCGATGATAGAGATAGCGATGAAAAATGGATAATAATGGATGGATAAATGGATAAAAATAGATAATATGAAAAATCGATATTCTCACAGATCGGGCCAATTAAATCGCCGCTTTTTCATTTGAGTTATATAAGATCGGGTATTGCAGGTTGCTGAAGGCGATGCTCCAGGTGATATGTCTACGCTGAGCGTCACTGATTACCTCTACCTTGGTGGAACACCAACTGGAGTTAATACGTGAGTTGTCTCTACTTTCAGCTCTGAATTTCGTCCAGATTGTGTCCAGTTGAAAGTCCACATGATCACCTTGCTAAAAAAGCTGTATTCAGCCGTTCTCCTATCGAGCCATTCCGTGGCTGCATCAAATCGGTTCGTCTTGGAACGGACGAAATGGATTTGTATGCAAGTCATGCCAGCAAAGGAGTGAGGAATGCTTGTCCTCTTGGCACTGTGAACACGGTGAGTTGATTGCTGAAAATGCAGATTAAGGGGGACTAGAAGTTTTCAGATCAAATTAAAGATATCCGTTTTCGATGATTACTGCTGCTGTCTCAAATATTTCCAGTTCCAGGTTTCGATTTTATCTGATCGATCCACGGCAGTGTTTGAGAATATCACAGCTTCTGATGAGATGGATGTGTCTCTTCGCTTCAAAACCCGTCGCTCAACTGGTACTCTGCTGACAATTCAGTCTGACGAGGATGACCTGCTAGCGTTGAAAATTGAAGACGGCGTATTGGTGGCGATGGCTGGAGACGATAAGGTCGGCTTATCAAAAGATTATAGTGATTGAAAAATACTATTGACATAAGATGAGTAAAACAGTTCTCTGTTCCGATTTCCGCTTTTCCTAAGATTATGATTCTGGCGATAAGTTCAGTACCTGATGGTATAGCGTGATTCACGCATGAAAGCCAAAATGAATTGATTTCCATCCCCCAATCCCTTTTGAAAAAGGGTACGCTTTCGAATTCCATTGATATTTGAACAGTATTTCCCTGTGCAAAAAAGTTGAAACGAGGGAGGAAAACGAGGATTTTGGAGGGGCCAATCATTCTCCAAGAGGAAATTAATAGAAATCCATGACTTTCTCTAGAGCTAAAAATCCTGGAAATAACCCGCCCACTATTATTTTTAATGCGTCTACACAAAATCGCCTATCCATCTTGCGCTTCGGTTGGTCCTATCGCAGCTATGGGTTTAATTTGAAAGCCGATTCATTTAACTTATTCTCATTGTTTATTTTCATCCACGTTATACTTATATTTTCAGGTTTCCTTGGAGCTGGCATCGGCCGCTGACGAGCAGTGGCACTATGTCTCAGTACGCAAGACCAAAGAGACTCTCCGTGTGGACGTAGACGATCTACATTCGAAGGAGGAACGACGAGCCAACGGCGATGACGTGGTATGTTTTTTGGTTCCTACCGCATGTGTAGCGCAATGACAAGAGTATTCTTCTCGCGTGTTCATGGCCACTGGTTCAATCCATCACTCGGACTAACGCCTAGCCTCTCACCTCAATCGAGTTGGTTGGTTGTATGGCACCGAGTTTGTCCGAAAGCACCAACTTACAAAGTTTCCGGTCACATTTTTTCACAGTAGTGATTGGGATCGGAGTGCATGGCGCATTCCCTGTTTATTTTCGTGTAGTATTTCATAGCTTTACCTTTTTTCAATTGCATTGACGATTGTTTTGTCCAATTACAGCGGGAACGTCGTTCAGCGGTAAGTTTTACCGTGTGTCGCTATAAGTACTACTGCTTTAACATGTGTTTATACTGCATTAATACTGCTCTGTACTGAAGTGGTAACTAGTGAGTGTCTCACATAACCTGTTTGGTAGTGAATGACCAGATCCATCCATGATTGTCAGATCTGTATGCTAGTTGTGCTTGATGAGGTCGATAGGCTATGATTGTGCCGTTTTTGGCTAGTTGCAGTGAGAGCGAGAATTTGATTGCGGAAAGCGACTGCAGCAGATTTTAGGCAAAAGTGTGGCCTGAGTTGAAGTCAAAGTCAATGTCGTTGTAGA